CTCATTAAGCATTTGTTAAATGAAGCAAAGACAGACTTCAGGATGTAAGAAAGGTTATTTTACCAACAACTGAAGCAGTATGAAATACCAATTTGCACAAAATTAACTTTTGTTTACCTCAATCAATTTCAATAAGCACAATTAAGCTCAGTCTTCTCAGTGATGCTCCCTTGAGAAGCCAAGACCCTTACTGGTACATATCTTATTTTTTTTTTTCCATGAGTGCCTTTCTGACACCCGCCACCCACCACCACCACCACACTTAAGTCTACGTTTAAAAATACCTTTGGAAGCTGCAGAGATGGCTGAGCGATTAAGAGCACTGGCTGTTCTTCCAGAAGACCTGGGTGCAAATCCCAGCACCCTTATGACAGCTTACAATCATCCGTTGCTCCAGCTGCAGGGGATCTGATGCCGTTTTCTGGTCTCTACCAGCGTGCATGTGATGCACAGACACATCAGTACACAACATACCCACACACATAAAAATATATCATTTTGTACCTTCCTTTTCATAAACTCCAACGCTATTTCTAAAGAAAACCCTTTTCGTCTGCATACTGTACAACTTTAATTTTGAATCCAGTTGTGATATTATTACTAATAATTACTAGCAATTAAATCTGTATGTCCCACAAGAAGCTGACAAAGCAGGGTAGTGTCTGGAAATTGTGGGTAAATTCTAGGGTACGTTTCATCTGAACCAACTGACAATCTCTGAAAGATTTAACTTCGCCAATATCAGGGTAATTCGGCAAAACCAATCCGACACATTTTCTTCAACTCTCATCTGTCACCATTTTGGTAGGGGATAAGGATGTATGCATAGGTACATGTTCTTGTGGACACATGTGTGCACCTAAGTGTTCACATATGTATGGAAGCCAGAGGCCAAAATCTGGTGATTTTTTCTCTACCATTCGGGACTTTATGAGAAAAAGTCTTTCATTGAATTTGGAGATCATTGATTCAACTAGACTAGCTGGCCCCAAAACATCTGGGATCAACCTGTTTCGACCCCAACACTACTCCAAGTTCTTCATTAAATTTCTATTTTTAATTGAAAATAGATTTTTTTCATACAATATATTCTTTTTTTTTTTTTTTTCTTTTCGAGACAGGGTTTCTCTCTGTAACAGCCCTAGTTATCCTGGAACTAGCTCTTTAGACCAGGCTGGCCTCAAACTTAGAGTACTGGGATTAAAGGTGTGCACCATCACCACTCGGCCATATAATATATTCTGATTACAGTCTCCTCTCCCTGAGCTCCTCCCAGACCCTCCCTACCTCCCTACCACTCAACTCCATACCTTGCTCTCTCTCATTAGAAAACAAATATCTAATAATAATAATAATAATAATAAAACAAAATAAAAACCAGGTTAGGGCAAAACAAACAGAAAAGGAGCCAAAGAAAAAAATTACAAGTAACACACAGAAACATACACATTTGAACACACAGAAAACCCATAAAAACAAAATTGGAAACCAAAAGACCTATACAGTAAAAAAAGAATGAATGAATAAATACATAAATAGGAACAGACAGCATTATTAGACCCAAAAGCCATCTAGAAACTACGATTGAGTTCATTTAAAAAAAAAAATGAGTGCTAGGGACTGATCTCAGATTCTCATGCCTGTATGGCAAGTATTTTACCAACTGACCATCTCCCTAGGTCCATTTTCCAACATTTTTATCTGCCTGTATGTCTAATCTGATTGGTAACAACTTTATTTTGCCAAGAATCTAACCTTTAGGCATAATACAAAGATCTGTAACGGCAACTTACCTAAAATAATTTCAGGCAATTTTTTTTTAATGGACCAGTGAGACGGCTCAGCCAGTATAAGTGCTTTCGACCAAGCCTGACAACCAGAGTTCAATCCCCAAAACCCAAACAGTAGAGTGAGGAACCAACCCCAGAAAACTGCTCCTTGACCTCTACACATTTGATGTGCATCTGCATGCATATACACAGTCACGCAGAATCTTTATAAATATTTATGTAATGATAAATAAATAAGGGCTGGAGAGACAGCTTCGTAGTTAAGAGAGAATGCTGCTCTTGCACAGAACATGGGTTCAATTCCCAGCACCCACATTCTAGCCCTAGGAAACCAATTCCTCTGGCTTTCTCGGGCATCTATATTCATGTACTGAAATACAAACACACATACACGCACACAATTGAAAAGTAAAATATATATTTCAAGAATAAATAATTTAAAAACATGTTCATCTATGTTTTATTAGCTCCCAGAAATCTGTTTTCTTGCTCTGAAAAATCACTAGCTATCTAAATCTATTGCACAGCTGGAAAAATGGCTCAGCAGTTAAGAACACTTGTTGATGCTCCTGCAGAGGACCCAGGGTCCTTTTCCAGCACCCATATTAGGTGACTCACAGCTGCTTGCAACTCCAGTTCTAGAGGATCTGATGCCCTCTTCTGGATTCTGCAGCCACTGTATACACAGGGCACACCTAGGAACCCCCATACACACACATACAAAACATAAAACAAATTATTTCCAAAACTCACTTCACATGTTACTATTTGATATTCGATATCAAAAAAGAAACATATTCATAACTGTTAAAAATAAAAAATCAATACTATTTCAAACCAGTTACGACTGAACTGACAGTAGGCTATTAATATCAGGCCAGCATTGTTCGTCTAATATGTTCTTGCAAATCCAAACACAACCTACCATACAGAGTTACTGATTTACCTGCCTAGCACTTCTGAGGGTCACTTTCCCACAAGAACTGTTTATATAAAAGTTAGACACCATTTTCTAAATACTTTCAACCAAACCATTACCCTTTATTATGGGTGCGCAAAAGATAACACATAAACTATCCTACGAGCAGTCCCCACCTACACCATCAACACACTAGGCAAAAACCAATACCTCACAATGTGGCAGAAGTTAGCCACGCTGTACAATTTTACCATAATCTATGCTCGCAACCTGGCTTTACTCTCCACAGAAATGATAGCTGAGAAGAAAATGCTGCCAGTAAGAGAGCCATGTCTAAATTCCACCACAACTCAGTGTGAAGCAACACAGAAAGTAGAAAATGTTTGGGTATCTTAATACAATGAAGGTTGCTCTACAGCAAGTACAGCAGAGACGCTCTGTCAAGGACAATTGGAGCTCAAGAGCTCAAATGGTAAACTCAGCAATATCACTGCTCAGTATCAAGAAAACCAATTATTCTGCCTATCTATCTTACATCTGAAAATGAGTTTTCCTTATCCAATAACTGTACGATTTCCCCCAATTTATTTTCTATGTATCTCTAATATTATCACTAAGAACAATGTTATTTCATTCATTAGCAGATAGAATGCTTGCCCAGCTTGTTGAGAGCCTAGATTTGATTCCCAGCACCACATATATAGGGTGGTGCACATCTGTAATCCCAGCACCCAGAAGAAAAAGAGCTGAAGCCCAACTTTGGCTACATAGAGATTTAATAACCAGCCTGGGCTACATGATACCCTAGCTCAAAAAATAATTAATAAAATAAACCCACAAAGACAAGGCAACTTGTGACATTTGTAATATGATCCTTCATATTTTACTAAGGATCATGCTTGGGCAAAGACTTGAAACAGGTCTGATGAGTGGCTCAGGAGGTAAAGGTATTTGCCACTAAGCCTAATGAATTCAATCCCCAAAACCCACACAGTGGAGGAGAGAACTGATTCCTGAAGGTTGTCCTCTGACCTTCACATGCATGTTCACATATTCACAAATACACACATACACACGAAATAATTAAATGAAATAAAATTTACAATAGAAACACAAGAATTGTGATGTGTAAGAAGTTATATTTTGAAGGCATCTTTAAGAGGTTACTGGTGTCTGGTGACTAGGAGGCCTAGCTGAAGCAGGTAAATGAGGTTACAAAAACCATATTTGAAGGAGAGTTGGTTTTTTAAATGTTTACTAGCATACTTTTACAGGAGACAAATTTGCTGGGTGTGGTTGTTCACGCCCTTAATCCAAGCACTTGGGAGACAGAGGCAGGTAGACCTCTGTGAGTTCAAGGTCAGCCTGGTCCACAGAGATAGTTCCTGGACAGCCAGAGTTACACAGAAAAAGTCTGCCTTCCAAAAATATAAAAGTGTTAAACTGTATGTTGGAAAGCTGTACTCTGTGATGTGGGAGGGTCTTCTGTCTATGTGTTACTTTCACTGGTTAATAAAGAAACTGCCTTGGCTTTTTGATAGGGCAGGATTTAGATAGGTGGAGTAGACTGAACAGAATTCTGGGAGAAAGAAAGCAAGAGTCAGACAGACGCCATGACTCCCCTTCCCGAGACGGATGGTGGTTAGAATCTTCCAGGTAGCCAAGACCCCATGGTGATACATAGATTATTAGATATGGGTTAAAGCAAGATGTGATAGTTAGCCAATAAGAGACTGGAGATAATGGGCCAGGCAGTGTTTAAATGAATACAATTTGTGTGTTGTTATTTTGGGTGTTAAGCTAGCCGGGTGGGATGAAAAGCAGGCCTGCTCGCCTCATCACTACAACTCTGTGGAGAAATCAACAAAAATTGTCAAGGCTCTATCTATGCACAACATCCCTTTGCTTTGGTCAAGAAGATTTCTGGTCCTGAGACTCTATAATATTCATCTCTAAATGACAAAAGTGATTTTTATCAACTTAAAAATAAAGATAACACGTTTTCTTCTTTCACTTGAACCTCTAAGTGTTCTTTGAAACTAAGTTTCAACAAGTTGGCTCTCTTGATGATTGATGGGTCTTGGTTTAAAAATAATGTAGCTGGTGAGATGGCTTAGCCCATGAAGGTACTGGCCACCAAGCCTGACCACCTGAGTTCAATTCCTGAGGCCTACATGGTACAAGTAGAGAAGAGACTCCTGCCAAGTTTCCTCCAACCTACACACAAATGCCATGGAATGTGTATGACCACCTACTCCCCACCCACAAAATAAATAAATGTAAAAATCTACCTTTTAGGGCTGGAGAGGTGGCTCAGAGGTTGGGCGCACTGGCTGCTCTTCCAGAAGGCCTGAGTTCAATTCCCAGCAGCCAAATGATGGCTCATAACCATCTGTAATGAGATCTGGTGCCCTCTTCTGGCATGGAGGTGTACATGCAGGAGGAATATTGTATACATAAAAAATAAATCTTTTAAGAAAACAAAAAAAAACTAAAACTACCTTTTAATAAAGGTCATATGGCTGGCTTTAAACTCACTATGTAGCTAAGGACCTTGATGATTTAATGTTCATGTTTCCCAAGTCCCGGGATTACAGGCATGTGCCACCATGCACAGTTTATGGAGGGTTAGAATTTGGGGCTTCCCAAAAGCTAGAGAATACACATCTATGCCACCACCTCCAGTATACGTGGTGCTGGGAATCCAACCCAGAGCTTTGTGAAAATCTGGCAAGAATTCTACCGAAATTGCTATATCTCAGGCCCAAAATTCTATTTTCAACAGAAAAGATTTCATTAGAGTTCAATATCTGTTTATTAAGGAAGAAGAATTACTCCAGGAGTGGTGGCACATGCCTTTAACCCCAGTACTCAGAAGGCAGAGGCAGGTGGATCAGAGGCTGGCAGGGTCTACTGAGAGAGTTCCACATCAGCCAGGACTGTTACACAGGGAAACCCTGTCTCAGAAAAAAAAAGAAAAAAGAATAAGGGCCCAGAAATATGGCTCAGTGGTTAAAAGGGCTTGCTGCTCTGTTCTTCCAGAGGACCAGAGTTCAGTTCCCAGCACCGTATCAGGCAGTTTCTCTAACTCTAGCTCCAGGGATCTGGAAACCTTCTTCTGGCCTCTTAGATATCCACCAACACATATACATAAATTTAAAAAAGTTAAACAAGAATAATGCACCTCTTTAAACTTTACCTCTCAATTTTATTTTACTTTAAGTCATTATAATTACTAAAAAGATGTACATCTGTAATAACAGCTGCCACTTCAAAAGTACATCTAGCCAGGCCTGGTGGTTCGAGCCTGTAATTGCAGCTATGGGCAGAATTCTGCATCAAGGCAAGAAAAGATTGTTCAAGTCCTGACTGGGATACAAAGGGTGAGTTCAAGGACCACCTGGGTAACTTACTGGGAGCCTGAATTGGGGAAGAAAAGGGGGACTGGGAGGATACTACTAGGATTACAGCTAGTAGTAGAGAGGTTGCTTAGAATGTGCAATACCCTGGGTTCAATCCCTAGCAACACATACACATAAAGACAAAACTGAATTCAACGGGTATCCTCAAAGCCTTTATTAGTATAGTAAATTTAATCAGACAGTGAAAAGCTACAACAGATGCATAAACATGAAGCACCCAGTGTTTAACTGAAACAATTATCTCATTTTGGACATATATAATTACATGTATGACTTTCATTTATGAAGGAATCAAACCAATGAGGCTGTGTTGCAAAAACTCGATACTTCTGGTTGTCCTAACCAGCAGCCTTGATAGATACAGTCCCCTATGTCACAAAACACCAGGCAGCCTTGCCAATGAGGCCCATCAAACCCAGAAAACAAATTTATACATCCAGGACTCCCCAGGCACAACGTAAAGAATGAACTCAAAACAGGCTTTAGGAACCACACTCTTCTAGAGAAGCAGAAAACAGGGCTTGGGAAAGTCCAATTTCAAGTCAGACCGGTTTGGATGGCAATTTTGCTTCTTCTGCTGACTAGCTAGCTAATATGTGCAAATTATTTTTGCGCCCCGTCTGACATGTACATGAGAAATAAGGAAAATATCTACCTTGGAGAAAGGCTGTGAGCACACGTGCATACGTGTGAATAAATAATTTGCCACAGCATCTGGTATGCAGAAAGGTCCAATAGGCATAGCACTGTGAGAATTACAGAGCAGACTATACAAAAGAAAGACTGCACCCAAAACTTGACTCTGATGAGAACGACCCCCAAAACAAATGTCTTTATGTAAAAACCTTAATTCAAAGTGTTAACAAATTTCCAAGAGCCTGGTCCATTTAACCCAATAAATAATTTTCTGTTAATTCCCAAACCTGAAATGTTTAACTGATAAACATCTCTATAGATAGAAAAGTCCTTGGTCCTGGTTTTCATAGCCACAAACAGAACTGCCTCCCAAATTCCTATCTCCGAATGAAGAAATGTATAAACTCTAACGAGAAATGAGACCCAATCTTTGAGTAAATCACTAACACATTCACTGCTCCATATAAAGAAAAAAATCTCAAAAATATAAAAAATTAAATCTCGATCAAGCATAGTAGCTCATGCCAGCAACCCTAGAACCTAGGAAGCTAAGGCAGGGTATTGCTATAAGTTCCAGGCTAGCCTAGGATACATAGTGAGTTAGTTCCAAGCTAACCTGCGCTAAAAATGAGACCCTATCTAAAAACAAAAAATAAAAATCCAAATGCCAAAAGTGTGAATAATCAAAAAAAAATATCAATGTTGAGTTTCAGATTGGAAGCAAAGTGGATACTCTACAGAGAGCTGAAATGCTGACTATTGTCCCACTCCACTTGGATCCAACACCGGGCCATGTACTCTTCTTCTGAGTCACATCTCCAGCTCTAAATATTGTCTTTTGATGGCATTATTGTCCTAACAGACACAATTATCAGACGGTAAGCAACCTCTGACATTTTCTCTTCTCCTCTATCAAGGAATTTGATGTTGCCAAGAATAAAACCTTAAGATCTAAAATTATCTGATTCTGAGTGAAATCTTTTCTAGTCAGAAAACAACTAAATACTTCAAATCTTGCTGCTTTTGTACTAAAGTTAAGGATTATATAAAAGATCTCCCTCCTGTTTCAGATCTATGCAAGTTGATTGCTTTGTTCATTGTAAACGCCTCATGCTATTATCTGACATCAATTTGTTATAGTGGAGTATCACACTCTCACATTAACTGCCAAAAAAAAAATGCGATTGTATATGAGCACACCTGCAAAAAGCCAAACACTAAAAATTCTACTAAAATAAACCTACCAAAACTGTCAAAATGGAAGAAGGAAAAAGATGAAATTTTAAGCAGTTAAGAAAATATTCCCATGCTTGATTCTTTACAAATTTTCTACCAGATTATTTCTTAGCTATACCTCAACTTCCTATTATTAAGAAAACTGAAATGCAAATTCTACTGCAAGGCTAACTTCCTGCAAGAGGAGCTGTTGTCACTACCAACAATTCAACTGTGCCTGAGAATCTCTCATAGATTTGTAGCCACTGTGAAGAAACGGGTTGGGGGGAAATGCATACTGATAGGAATTTCTCCACCTCTGTAGTTAAGGTTTGTAGTATAAGAATACTGCACCTCTGAAACAGAAAATGCCCCGTAAAGTCTGGTTCTTCTCAAATGTAGAATATCGGGAACAGAATACATTTAATTCGCAATCAGTCAACCTTCTATTAGTTCTATGAGATGGCCCTTCAACTTCTCTCAATAGAAACCTTTCCTTTATAAAACCCCAGGGAGCAGAGTAGATGTCTGTGACTTAAATAACTCCAAGAACATATAATGGTAGATTTAATTAGGACCCTTGCAAAAACAAACAAACAAAAAGAATCAAAACCATGGGGGGGGCTTTAAGAAGTCCCTAATCTTTAATAAATTATAAGACTGAGCAATGACAAAAGCAATGCTCCCACTGGAAGGGATTTTATTTCTGAATAATTTTTTCTAATACATCAAGTTATTTTTATTTAAAAAAATTAGGCTTAGGGGCTATGCTAAATTAACACAATAAGAACAGTAAACTGTTTCTATTTCTACCTATCAAATGAAGCATTGCCCTGATTATGTTTAAAAGGCAAGCCAACTCAAAAGGATTTGATGCCCTTTCCAAGAGAGAAGCCCTCTTCTCAAGTACTCAGAAATGGCGGATTATTAATCACTCTTGGAATGGTTAACTTTATTTAGTATGCCTGTTTTGGAGTTCTATTCTTTAATGCAGCCAAATGGTATTTTTCTCCCTAATTAGGCTCCCCTGTACTTGTGCAATGCCCAGCACACACAATGTTGGCAGCGTTAGTTCTACAGCTTCTCTCGTCTGGCTTTTTCTCCCCTCACCTACCCTCTTTACCCCCCCATGCCCCCCCCAAAAAAGATTTCCTTCCCAAATGTTCTCCTCTCTGCATTTGTCAACAGAAACACCCACTGGTGGTGTCAAACTGGTAATACTGCTGCAGGCTTCCTTACTCCCGTTCTAGCATCAATGCCAAAAAAAAAAATGCTCCAACCTAAAATAGTACTTTTAATAAAGAATTGAAAATGCTTCCTAGGTACTCAAATACCATCTTCTCGGAAAGATGGAGGCCTTTTATGTTTTTATTATTAATGAATCCTAGTTGGGTTGTTAAATGTAAGATCATACTCTCCCTTTCAACACCAGATATACAGGAATAAGGAAACATAGCCTCTTCACATTTTAAGAAAATATTTTAAAAGAATTAAAAATGAATTTACATTTAAATATTAGGCACTTTGTAATTCCAAAGTGTCACCGGTAAAAATCTCAATCTCTCTCTCTCTCTCCCTCTCTCTCTCCCCTCTCTCTCTCTCTCTCCTCTCTCTCCCCTTCTTTCCCTCTCTCCTCTCTCCCCTCTCTCTCTCCTCTCCTCTCTCTCCTCTCTCTCTCCCTCTCTCCTCTCTCTCTCCTCTCTCCCCTCTCTCTCTCCTCTCTCTCTCCCTCTCTCTCTCCTCTCCTCTCTGTCCCCCTCTCTCCCTCTCTCCTCTCTCTTCTCTCTCTCTTTCTCTCTCTCTCTCCCCCTCCCTCTCCTTCTTTGTAACCCTACAGCAAGAAAGAAATTAGCTGGAAGTGTTCCAGCAGATGTTACCTAAAACCCTAATCCTATATCCTATACATATTTATGCCTCCTGTTTTCACTCAAATGCTCTCAGACAAATTAATTTGTGTAATCTTTTATATTGCCTACATAACCATTACATTCAAACAAGCCTAAATCAGATGCGCGGAAAGAAATTATTCTGTGTCAATACTTTCTAAAATCAGCTTAAATTTCAGCCAATTAAAAATAAATTGTGTTAACAGAATATTGATCTGCAACTATTTAAATATCACAGCATCCTTCTAGTCTGTCTGGAGAGATACTAACTAAGGTCAGGCTTTTCTTATTCAAGCATCTGTGCCATACCACTCAAGTAAAGCAAAAAAAAAAAAAAAAAAAAAAAAAAACCTCAAGAAAGATCTGCTTTAACACTGAAATCTGCCCAGGTTATTTTTTACCCCAATGTGGGCACAAAAAAGAAGAAGAAGAAAAAGGAGAGAGAGAGAGAGAGAGAGAGAGAGAGAGAGAGAGAGAGAGAGAGAGAGAGAGAAAAGAAAGAAGAAAAGAAAAAGAAACCGGGTCAATTTATTTGAGAAAGACCTGTTCATTTTGGCAGACGGTTCCAAACCCCAGGATTCAATTTCTATGAAGGTCCAAAGGGTAGGAAGGTCTGAGAAGGGGTCAATTTCTGCTTCCCTGCCAGCACGCCAGCCGTGAACTTCACAGCAACGCCTGAAAAACTTGTCCCGTGGAAGGTGGCGGAAACGTGCGGGGCTGCAGGCAGGGCGCTCGCCCACCCTCCCGGGCAGCCAAGGTCAGAAGGACCGGGGTTCTGAGTCGCAGCTGCTGGCGGGTCCGGGCTCTTTAGGAACTTGGGCGGAGGTTTGGAGCCCTTTTCAGTGCTAGCGCAAAAGGGTTTCCCCTCGTTGCAAGCCCCGGAGAGCCGTGGCCACGGGAATAGTGGGGTGGGGACACCGCAGACCTGCAGCAGAGGGGAGCCCCGCCGGGTCCAGCCTCGACTCACTGTCCCTCTAGCATAGCCCCTCTGTCTCCCAGCTCCAAAAATCGCAGTCCCAGCCCTACCGGAAAGCCCCTCGAGACGCCTGGTGGGTCGTCTAGAGAGTCCAGCTTGGGACGCCCTCGGCTCGTCGCCCCGTTGTGGAGGAACCGGTGCTGGTGCCCCTTCTGTTACTCTCTTGAGTGGACCAACTGAGTTCTCTCTAAGGACAAACTAGTGGACACACCGCCAATGTGAGACGACCTGACGGGCGGGCGCAACTACTCACCGTGCCGAGTCTCCCACCTCTCCTGGGGAACTAGGGAAGCCTCCACTCCCGCGGCAGCCGTCACCGCTTTACCTTCCCTAGCGGCAGAGACAAGTAATCGAAACCTCCGGCCCCGCCCTCTTGCCGGAGCAAACGCGCAGCCTAATTTGCTGTTTACCACTCCCCCGTCTGCCCATTCGAACCAATGGACAAGTACCTCTCATCCCGCTAGGTCCCGCCTTGGCCCCGCCTACTTCTGATAGGCGCCAATGAAGAGAAAGCGCTCGTGCTCGGGTTCGGGCTCGCGCGCCCCGCCCACGCTGCTCGTTCTTGAATCCCCGAAATCCTAGAACGCGGGTTTCTTGTACTAGCTCTCTGCTACACGAACGCGCTTATGCGCGCTCGCGACGCTCCTCCTGGCGCACCAGGTTTGGTTGCTCAGCCAGGCAATTGCAACCTGGGCTGCGAGGATGGAAGGGGCGGTGCTCGAGCTGGGAGTTTACTTGGCGAGGGGGAAGTGAGGGAGGAATGGAGGGGCGCGGAATCGTGACAGAGAGGGGTGGATGCGAGGGTTGAGGCGGGGTGAGGAGGCCCGGGAATCCACCTGTCACTGCGGTGGAAAAAGAAAGGGGGAATCCTGCCCGCAGCGCAGTTATCCTAGCCTCCCTCCCTGGAGACCCGTGCGCGAAGTGGGCAGAGGGCGGGGAGCACATTTCGGGCGGGAGTCCGGGCACTGCTTGAAAATAAAGGACGAAGGTTGGCTCATCTCGGTCGTTGGTTTAGAAAAAAAATGATAACAGAGTCTATTGCTGCTCCCTAACTATTGCAGCCGTGCGTGCACGCGCGCGCAAACACATTCTTATGCACGTTCATCTAGCAGCCTGCGATCCCCTGGGGTGACTTTAAGAGCAAAGAACTGGCAGCAAGAGGATTCCTTACACAGCAGCTGGACGTGTGCAAACCGCGGCGGCAGCGGCTGCGGCATCAACCCACAACTCTACTCCGGTCCGATGCTCTGCTTTACAAGATTCCCCAGCTGGTAAAAAAAAAAAAAAAAAAAAAAAAAAAAAAAAGCAATGAAGTCATTGTCGGGCCAGTAGAAATATAAAAATCTTAATAACCACTGTGGATCAGGTTTTCAATGAGAATGAATACGGGATGAGATACAGATATAGTCCCAGTGCACTTTAAAAAAATAAAAGAAGAAATGATTTTAAAGACATTGCAGACAAATCTATGAAAAGCTGCATGATGATTCTGAAACACTTTTTAAAAGAAGAGAGTAAGGATAAGGGTTTTCTGGGGTTTAGGAAGGGACAGAAAATAGGTAGTCTATGAGGTCGAAGATGCCACCAAATAAGAAATAGCAGTTTGTAACAGGAAATAGATATCTTGGATAAAATCTATTTCATCTACTTTTGTCTTGAATCTGGTAATGACAGGTAGCTATGTAATGGATTTATCCACTCGATTCCAAGTCAATAAGATTTTCTTTTTCATAGCATGGTGAATATTTCATAAGCAATTGAAGGCATCTACTTTCTCAGGAAGCATATTAGCTAATTTTCCAGGTAGGAGCGGTGGATTAACAATGAGGTGAAAATGGAGTCAGGCTCTGCAGAGGCTCCTGCCTCCTCCAGTTGCAAAATAACAGTGCTGTGACCTCATGCTTCACTTTCGGCCACGTGGAGCCAGGATTCCTGGGACAATCGCTGCATTATCACCCCGCTGTCGATGCCTTTGTACTAGAAATTTCAGTAGCATTGCCTTGGAATCAAATATAGGGTGGTTTATCTGAATAGACTGAGAAGAAGGGGGGAAAAAGCAGAATGCCAACAGATTTAAGTTCCGTGTCATTTTACGTAGCTATATTACATGTTTTCCATGGGCAAATGCAGCCTTTCCCTGAGGAACATTTGCTTCGATTTGGTTTGCAGCACTGGTCTGTTACATCCACATCCAGCTCAGTTAATTCTTCTTTGGAGAGAAAACTGGACATTTTAAGTGTTTTTAAGAAATCCCATGCTGTCATTTACCTGAGGTCTTTTCTTATGTTAAAAGAGCAGTAATAGTTCCCTGTGAATGCCTGCTGCTCCGTTAAAAAATTCTACAGCTATTTAAGGCTGACAGAGAAACTAGAGGCTGCTTCCATAAATTTGAATTTTAGATAAACAACAAATAACTTTTGATACGTGTATTTTTATCCCAAATACATTCAGGACAAGGCTAGAAGAATGAGGAAGTAAGCCCTGTCCAAAAAGAAGCTTATGAAATGCCCTCTGTGCAAACTAAACACATGTGTAGGCTTTGTTTGGAGAAACTGAAAAATAAGTTGCTGTTTATCTGAAATTCACATTACGGTGGGTATCCTCTGTTTTTATTTGCTCCACTGGACGACCCAATACTGTTAGACACATTATGTCTAATTCTCACATATCTCAGCAAGAGTTCTCCCCACTTCCAGATGGAGAGCCAGCTTCGGAGCCTCCTCAGCATCTATTTCTTCCCTCTCCCCACTAAAGGAACCCCCACTGTTTGCAGATATCCAGCCCCTGCACACACGGAGAGGCTGAGTCCAAATTCGTCTCAGTCAATCCATATGTGGCTTGGTTAGCCTAAAAGAATAAAGCTTCGCATCCCATGGTTTGAAAGAAAGATTTTCCCCCTTATACTTTCTGGATGAATACCCCAAATACCCCAAATACCACAGGCAGCCATTTTGAGAGCCCCCTTAAGCCAAAGCCTACGTACTAATTAAGGTCAAGTTTACAAAAGACGTAAAGGGAAATTAAAATGTAGGTTTTTGACAACACGAACATTTATGAACTACCCATGAGGGCCTAAGCTTCATGATATAGCCTGGGTCCACTGCAAGGCAGAAGAATCAACCTAATGGGTGAATTGCTAGTGCTCGTAGGCAGAAGGGCACATCAGTAAGTGCCCTGTTCAGAGTGCAAATCATGCCAAATCTTACATCGTTTTCTTCGAAGTTTATGACACATAAACAAAATAGGGTATGGTGGCACAGCTGGGCAATGCCAGCACTTGAAAAGCAGAAGCAGGGGGATCACAAGTTCAAGGCCACTCACCATCTCCATAGGGAGTTCCAGGTCAGCCATGGCTATACAGGTGAGACCTTGTCTCAACAAACAAAACAAAAACTAAATATAAAGTTTATGCTATTTAGATGTCGTTTTAGAAATTCAAGTCCAATACTTTAAGCTTTTGAAGTCTCCATCTTTGTTCTCTAGGCACTAAGTTTAGCCACAAATAGTGTGGAAAGAACATGAATGCCGGCCTCAACACCCTGATGTTCTTCTAGACCTTTAACACATCATCTTAAATTGTGATCACACCTTTAAGAAAAAATTCAAGAATCGACTTTCCTCTGAGAAGCCCAGGTTCACATTTCTGGGTGTGTCTTCTTCTTTCTCTCTTTATTTTAACATCTGTGTTTAAATTTATCTTTCAGATCTCCTTTTGGGACTGGGAAGGTGGCTCGGTATGTAAATTGCTTACTGCTGAAGCATGAGGGGCTGAGTTCATTCCCAGTAACAACATAAAAAAACCAAGCCTGGTGACAAGGGTTTGTAGTCCCGGGCTGGGGAGGTAGAGACACATGGATCCCTGGACTAATTAACTAGCCAACCTAGCCTAATTAGCAAGTCCTAGGCTTAAAAAAAAAGTGCACATCTCCTGATTAACAATACCCTGGCCTCTACACATGTGCACACACATGTATTCATACACTCACACTCAAAAGAGCCCCTTTAAATAAACTCCAACTCTACTTCAAAAATGAAACAGGCAGTTAGTTCATGGTGGCACATGCCTTTAGGCACAGTGCTTAGAAAGCAGGCAGATCTCTGATTTTCAGAGCCACCTTGGTTCCAGGACAGCCAGAGCTACATAGTTGATTCTGTCTCCAAAGGAAAAAAAAAAAAGCTTTTCTGACCATGTGAGCTGTGTCTGTATAAGCTGCCTTAATTACCACAGATAGTGAAAGTTGACCAGAGAGTTATCCTGATGTCAGAGGAAGTAAAAACATTGTCACCTGTTCGAAATTAAAAATGAAAAGATGACCTTCTTGACTATAATTCTTTCACTTGTAAGGATTAACGAATGTAGTGATGTTTTGTTTGTGTTTTAACAAATAAAGCTTTCCTGAAGATCTGAGTGCAAAGCTAAGCCACTAGAGGCCCCGCAGTAGTGGCACACATCTTTAATCCCAGGACTCGGGAGACAGAGGCAGACGGATCTCTGTGAGTTGAAGGCCACCCTGATCTACACGAGATTCAATCAGTCTAAAAGAGAAACAATAGCCAAGCGGTGGAGGCTCAAACTTTTAATCCCAGCCCTGGGGAGGTAGAGACAGGAGTGCTGTGGCTGAGCAGAGAAGAATATAAGATGGAAAGAGACAGGAGCTCATTGTGGTCTGGAGATGCAGTCTGAGGATTTGTAGAGACAGGAATGCCTGTTTGGCCTGAGCATTGGTAGAGGATCTCTGTGAGTTCGAGACCAGCCTGGTCTACAGAGCTAGTTCCAGGACAGGCTCCAAAGCCACAGAGAAACCCTGTCTCGAAAAAACAAAACAAAACAAAACAAAACAAAACAAAACAAAAAACTCTATCGTGACTGGCCAACTCTGCTCCTCTGATCTTCAGCATTAACCCCCATAGCTGACTTCTAGTTTTTATTATTTATGGCAATTAGAATTCGTGCTACAGACAAAGGACTTAACAGTTTGAGGCCAAACTAGACTATAGAGGGAGAGCTTGTTTAAAAAGAAAAAACAATTTAAAAATGGGCTGAGAATGTAATGCAGTTGGTAGTGAATTTGCCTGGCATATATGAAGCCCTGGGCTGGATCCCCAGCACCAAAGAAATTAGGACTGATGTGCACACCTGTGATTCCAGCACTCTGGAGGGAAAGGCCAGATGATCAGGAGTTTAAGGTCATCCTTAATAT